GCATTCCTGATTTTCACTAGTCTAGGCCCTTCCTTCCCACCTGTCCTTTCTCTCTTCAGACAAAACCCAAACTGTCTGAGCTTTTGCCAAATAGCTTCTGAGCTTCTTGCTGGAGAAGGAGGCCTCCCTGGGACAACTTGGGGTTGCTTTGTCTGGTTGTTTCCATCGCTTTTGCCCAAAGAGAGAAATCAGTTGTCAGTGGTCCTGCCCTGTGAGTCAAGAGGCTTTGATTAGGCTAGAAGGGCACCTATTGATCCTCAGTTTCGGTGACTTTTATTGGGCCCTGGCTGGCTAGATCACCCAAGGGGCACGATGGGTGGGTGGTACCCATCTGCTGGCTTTAGGTAGGTCATCTCTCTCTCATGTTTTCAGAATCTTCTTGCTTGCCTTGTAATTAGGTTGGGGCATGGCCTGGGCCTCGGTAGGGACACACCACGCTGTCTGGTCTCTGCTCCCTTCCTGTGTGGACCTGGACTTGTGTCTAGGAGCCAGGGCTGGGGGCAGGGGGAAGAGAAAGACTTCTGAGACACTGAGAAGGCCTGAGGTGGGCCCAAGTAGGGAGCCTTTGTTGGGGCGGGAATTTTCTATGGCTCACCAAAGAACTACACTTGGGCTGCTGGAGTCCAGCTGGGGAGGAGTGGAATTGCCTCTCATCCCAGGCCCACTTGGCTCGTCCCCTTTAGGCTTCTGCTTTGCCCTTCCTCTCTTCACATTTCATTTCTAGCTGTCAAGGGTCTGGGAAGGAAGTGACCAAGGATGCCATTTGGTTTGCAAGCTTTGTGTCTTCTGTAAGCTCTGCTTGCATCTTTTAAGGAAGACTCTCTGGTTTGATTTTCTTTCCCTTCAGACTTGGGGGAATTCAGAGAGAGGGTAAGGGGCTTCTTGAGAAGATTTCAACCCAACTCCCCTCTCCCCTGACGCAATCCCCTGGGCATGGCCCACGGCCTCCTCCGTGGTCACACCACTGGACTGGGGAAAGGAGAGGCAGGAATCAGCAGAACCGTGGTCCCAGAGGGGCTGGGACACAGCTGGGCGTCGGTCCCAGGCGGCTGGTGGGGTCAGCCAAGGGCTTCGGTGCGGAGCTGGGATCCGGGCAGCGCAGCCCGCCGGAGGAGCACGGGCGCCCTCTTGTGGCCGCGGAATCGCCTTCCAGAGGCACCTGGGGGCGCAGGTTGGGAGCCACCAACCCTGCCCCGCCCGGGGCGGCCTCGAGCGACCTTCCTCCTGTCCCGCCCCGGGTTGAAGACGCCGGGCGAGGTGGGGAGATGGCGGACACTGCTAAGTTCGGTCGCTGTGCCTACTCCTCCCCCTCCGCCACTCCTGGCGCTCCACTGCCAACCAGGACAGCTGAACGGAAGATTCCAGGAAGGAGCAAAGAGCTGGAGAAGGTGGAGGGGGTGGAGTCCAGGCGGAGCGAGGCGGGGCGGGGCGGGGAGAGGGCTGCGGGCGCCCGGAAGGGGCAGGGGGGCGGGGGCGATTTAGGCCCTTGAAAAGGAAGACCGCGGCA